AAGTGCCGGCGTCAAGGACTCCACACACGGAGACCCCACCGAGTGGGGCCCTGTCAGAGGACTCCACACACAGGAGGACGCCACCGAAGTGTGCTGGCTGTCAGTGGACTTACTATACCAAACAGGGAGACGCCCACCGAGTGCTGGCTTGTCAGAGGACTCCACACACTAAGGGAGAAGCCACAGAGTGACCGGCATGTACAGAGGACTCCAACACACGGGAGACGCCACCAAGTGCCCGGCTGTCAGAGGTAGACTCACACACACAGGATGACGCCCTCTCGGTCTAATTTAAGTAGTGCGGCTGTCAGAGGACTTCCCAACACTGACAGGAGAGACGCCACCGAGTGCGGCTACAAAGAGGACTCCACACACCAAAGGAGACGCCAGCGAGTGCCGACGGTCAGGGGACTCCACACACAGGAGACGCCAACCGACGTGTCGGCTGTAAAGAGGACTCACACACACAGGAGACGCCACCGAGTGACGGCTGTCAGCGGAATCCACACACAGGGAGACGCCACCGTGTGCCGGCTGTCAGAGGACTCCCACACACGAGACGGCCTCGAAGTGCCGGCTACAAGAGGACTCCACACACACATGAGACGGCACCACCGAGTGCCGGCTGTCAGAGGGACTCCACACACACAGGAGACCCACGAGTGCCGACTGTCTATGAGGACTCCACACATGAGAGGAACGCCACCGAAGGTGGCCGGCTGTCAGAGGACTCACACACCGAGGAAGGACGCCACAGAGTGCCGGCTGTCAGAGGACTCTCACACAGAGATTTACTATTGAGCAGTGGCTAAAAAGCAAGTGTCTAGCAGAGGACGCCTAAAAAATGTGTTCTGCACATGCTCAGCTTTATATCAGCCATAGACACTGCACGGGCGTCTAAGATTTTTACTGATGTTGATTTGCTTTACTTTAAAAAAACTATTTTTTACACATTTTACATTTTATTTGAAATGTCAGATATTGTTTGAAGTGAAGTCCTGATGATATTTGGCAAAGCAAATTTCCATGTGAATGGTCTCTTGCAGTGATCTTTCATGGTGTCAGACGTGCCTCTTACCAAGTCTGCTTTGTGAGTCTGATTCCTGGTGTGTGTCTGCTTAGTAAAAATTCGATTGGCGTCTACTTGTTGGCGCTGCTCAATAGTAAATCTCTTAGCGGGGTAAAAGTAGATGGTCGCCACCCGGAACATGCGCCCAGCCCCACAATAGTAAATCAGGGCCCATCTGTCCACGTATACCACATCTCACTGCCACCCCTCTGTCCAAGTATACCACATCCACTTCCACCCCTCTGTCCAAGTATACCACAACCCACCGCCACCCCTCTGTCCAAGTATACCACGTCCACAACTCCCCCCTCTGTCCAAGGTATACTACATCCACCGCCACCCCCCCTCTGTCCAAGTATACCACGTCCACCGCCACCCCTCTGTCCAAGTTATACCACATCCACTGCCACCCCTCTGTCCAAGTATACCAACATCCACTGCCACCGACCTCTGTCCAAGTATACCACATCCACTGCCACCCCTCTGTCCAAGTATACCACGTTCTACACCACCCCTCTGTCTAAGTATACCACATCCACTGCCACCCCTCTGTCCAAGTATACTACATCCAACTCTCTGTCCAAGTTATACCACGTCCACAGCCACCTCTCTGTCCAAGTATAACACATCCACCATCACCCCTCTGTTCCAAGTATACCACGTCCTCAGCTCCCCCTCTGTCCAAGTATACCACATCCACTGCCACCCCTCTGTCCAAGTATACCACAGTCCACAGCCCACCCCCCTGTCCAAGAATATCACATCCACCACCACCCCTCTGTCCAAGTATACCACGTCCCCACCACCCCTCTGTCCAAGTACACCACATCCACTGTCACCTTTCTGTCCAAGTACCACGTACCCACCCCACCCGGCCCACCGCTACCCCTCTGTCCAAGTATACCACATCCACCACCACTAGAGATGAGCGGATCGAACATGGCGAAGTGGAATTCGTTTCGAAGATTGGGAAATATTCGATTCGCGCCGAATCCGAAAATTAGCAGACTTCGGATGCACGAATCTTAATCTATTTTCCCAAAAATGGCGGCGACATGTGTGGCGACGGAGCGGGGATCTCTGGGAAGGCGCGCAGACAAGGCGCGCTGACCCATAATGCATTCATTCATGACATATGTGATCGCATTAGCCAATCAGCAGCCAGCCAGCACTGTGTAATGGTGGAGCTATAAATCGCGGCCATCTTAGAATTCTCCATTAGCCTCCAGTCATTCAAGAGAGACAGACCTGTGTGTATTAGGGACAGAGTTAGGGCCACAGATACTTTAGGGCCACAGAATCGTTACTCAGGGACACAGAATTGTTACTCAGGACACAGAATTGTTACTCAGGGGACAAAGAATCAGTTTACTCAGGGACAGACACAGAAATGTTACTCAGGGACACAGAATTGTTACTCAGGGACACAGAATCGTTTACTCAGGGGACAGAGAATTGTTACTCAGGACACAGAATTGTTACTCAGGGACACAGAATCGTTACTCAGGGACAGAGAATTGTTACTCAGGGACACAGAATCGTTACTCAGGACACAGAATTGTTACTCCAGGGACACAGAATTGTTACTCAGGGACAGACACAGAATTGTTACTCAGGGACACAGAATTGTTACTCAGGGACACAGAATCGTTTTACTCAGGGACACAGAATCGTTACTCAGGGACACAGTAATTGTTACTTCAGGGACACAGAATCGTTACTGAGGGACACAGAATCGTTACTCAGGTGACACACGAATTGTTACTCAGGGACACAGAATTCGTTACTGAGGGACACAGAATACCGACGTTACTCAGGGACACAGAATCATTACTCAGGGAGACACAGAATTGTTACTCAGGGACACAGAATCGTTACTGAGGGACACAGAAATCGTTACTCAGGGACACAGAATTGTTACTCAGGGACACAGAATCGTAATTACTCAGGGGACAGACACAGAATTGTTACTCAGGGACACAGAATTGTTACTCAGGGACACAGAATCGTTACTCAGGGACACAGAATCATTACTCAGGGACACAGAAGCGTTACTCAGGGACACAGAATTGTTACTCAGGGACACAGAATTGTTACTGAGGGACACAGAATCGTTACTGAGGGACAGACACAGAATCGTTACTCAGGGACAGACACAGAATTGTTACTCAGGGACAGACACAGAATTGTTACTCAGGGACACAGAATTGTTACTCAGGACACAGAATCGCCATTACTCAGGGACACAGAATCGTTACTCAGGGACACAGAATCATTACTCAGGGACACAGGAATTGTTACTCAGGGGACACAGAAAATCGTTACTCAAGGGACACAGAATTTTTACTCAGGGACAGAGAATCGGTTTTACTGAGGGACACAGAATTGTTACTCAGGGACACAGAATTGTTACTGAAGGGACACAGCAAATCGTTACTGAGGGACACAGAATCGTTATCTCAGGGACACAGAATTGTTACTGAGGGAATACACAGAATCTGTTACTGAGGGACACAGAATCGTTACTCAGGGACACAGAATTGTTACTACAGGGACACAGAATTTGTTACTCAGGGACACAGAATCGTTACTGAGGGACACAGAATCGTTACTCAGGGACACAGAATGTGGTTACTCAGGAACAACAGAATCGTTACTCAGTGAAACAGACACAGAATGTTACTCAGGGACACAGAATCGTTACTCAGGGACACAGAATCGTTACTCAGGGACACAGAATCATTACTCAGGGACACAGAGAGCGTTACTCAGGGACACAGAATTGTTACTCAGGGACACAGAAGCGTTACTCAGGGACACAGAATTGTTACTCAGGGACACAGAATTGTTACTGAGGACACACAGAAATCATGAAACTGAGGGACAGACACAGAATCGTTGTTACTCAGGACAGACACAGAATTGTTAATCAGGGACAGACACAGAAGTGTTACTCAGGGGACCACTCAGCCAATTGTTACTCAGGGACACGCGAATTGTTACTCAGGGACACAGAAACCGTTACTCAGGGCTCTCCACAGAATTGTTACTCAGGAACAGACTCGTTACTCAGGGACTCAGAGCCTATCGTTACTCAGGGACACAGAATCGTTACTCAGGGACAGACACAGAATTGTTACTCAGGGACACAGAAGTGTTACTCAGGGAACACCGGGAATCGTTTACTCAGGGACACAGAATTGTTTACTCAGGAAACAGAGAATCGTTACTCAGGGAACACGAATTGTTACTCAGGGTCGCACAGAAATCATTACGTTTATTTTGAGGGGTGCTTATTGAAATAAAGAGTATGTCAGACAACAGCAGAGAGTCGGCAGAGGAGGCAATGTTTCAGGAGCGAGCAGCAACTGTGGCAGCAGAGGAAGGGGTCGAGGCAGCTATAGTCGCAGTGCCAGAGGCCAGTGCTGCCGGTGTCATCCAGCGGTCGTGTCCCTCCACCGACAACCCTGCCGTCATCGATTGGTTGGCTCGGTCGTCTTCCTCTTCCCAGGTCACCTCTGACCACCTACAGCCCAACGGTCGGTGGGTACGTCAGACACAACCGTTAGTTGGCATGGCCCGGGGGAGCAAGCCCACATGAAATACACCGTGTCCTCTACTTGCAGAGCCCTGTCCTTTGTGTTCACCTCACCAAAGCGAAGTATCGCATTGACTGTGGGCTCAGCCCCACTGTACAGTGATGGAAGAGCTAACAGAGGGCGGTCAGGAACGGGGGGAGACATCCGCCTCTTCAGCAGCCAGCGAAGGAAGTACTGGCGAGGAGACCCCAGTGGCTCGGTAGCCGGTCTAGAGACAGGTCAATCCTCCTGAACCCAGACGCAGCCGATGGGGGCTTAGTAGATGACGCAGAGGACCACTAATTGATTGAATGAGGAGGCTGATCGCACTTGGCATCCTTTCGTAGTCATCAGGCTATTGGGCTTTTCCGCATCATCAGGAGAAGGGGTGCCAGCAGGGGCAGGCTGATCGCAAAAACAGCTCGGTGGGAAATCGCGACCAGGACGGCAGCAGGGTCGCAGTCAGTGGTCACGTGGAGGGCAGGGACGGCGGATGGTGTAGAGGCACCAGCTCCACTGAAAGCAAGATCCATCGATCCACAGACCAGTAGTGGTTGCCGGTGTGACCAAAAACGAGAGGTAAAGTAGCAGTCAGCTCTGTGGAGGAGTAGCGGGGGCGAAAAGTTTCTCTACTCGGCGTGTGGCAATTTATTCGTGTCGAATCCGCTCGAGGATGAGTAAACGTACGCCGTTGAAGTGAACGACTATGTGGCCAGGAAAGTCAAGCGTGGCATCAAGCCCATGTTGTGGGACTTTACAGCGTTGCGTCAGCATATGCAGCTCGTACATTGGTGGAGGCCGGGGAGGATAAAACCTGTGATAATCGATACGGCGGGTCTGCCTGCCCAGCCCCGCTCCATCTCCGCTGCGTTAGGACCGGACATTTGCATCCGTCTCCCTAGCGTCAATCGACCTCTATCAGCTCAGTCACGCGCTCCAACCCCCTCGTGCTGACGGGAGGAGTTGTCGCTCGCGAGAGGCTATCTTCCGCTCGTTTTAGATGCTCCTTCTCCTGTACTTCCTCTTCACGGATTCCGTCAGCAGTCTTTCTTGGAATCGTGTTCCAAGACGACAAACCGTTTGCGAGCACGCACCCGACGGTGCGAAAACAGCTGAACGTCCTCCTGTCCAATCGTTGCTGGTGCTAGCTCAGTCCCTCCGAGCTTTCCCGTGAGGGGACTCATCACCTTTTCCGAGAAATGAGGGCTTGTGCCGTGCCGCGGTGGAGAGTGCCAAGCCGGCAATTCTTCACCAAAAAGGGGCAGTGCCAGCCCTGCATTTCACATCGGGTAGAACGGGATGGTGGGCCAGTCTAGATGAGCATGTCGGTCTCTGCCAATAGTGGCACGGCAGCGCCCGACGTGTGGAGCTGTAAAGTACGGTCAGGGAGACAGTACTTCATGTTACATTTACGGGCCCACTGGGAGAACGTGGTGCGGCACAGCGCGCCCAGCCAGCAACCTTGGACTGGCTTCACGCCGCTTTTGCATCCACGTTTGCACGTCCGTGGTCCAGCAAATGATGTCCGCCTCTACCCACCCTCTTCTTTCCGCGCTGTCCTCAGCTTCAGTTTAAGTGCTGTTTAAACAATGGCTGGTCAGGGTGTGGTAGATGTGGCGCACTGATCTCAACGCCACATGACCCTCATGTGGGGGCATGGACAGGAGAATGAAGAGTGCATGGAGGGTAGAGGAGGATCATTGGTGCTTAGGATTTATTGAAGTGAATATGGGTGGGTTTTTCCATTCAGCGGGACAGGAGTGGAGGAGCAGGGAGATCTGTAGCATAAAGGAGGAGGGAGACAGAGGACCCAGACACCAACGTCGGCAGTATGCTGTGGAGATGAGCAGGGAGGTCCCTCGCATTCCTTGCACAATGGCCCTTAGCATGCTCGGTTGCTGTGCGTAGCGAACAGCCGAATATAACCATCAGACAGTGGGATGACTTTTGTCAGTACACCTTGTTGGACCCTCGCTAACCCCGTTCAAAAATGGTAAGGCATTTTTCACACCTGTGAGAGGGGGGCCCAAAAAAAAAGGAAAATATAAAAACCAAAATATGTTGTCAGTTGGGCTCGGGGCCCCTTTTTGCCCAATTTCCCTTTCCCCAGAAAACTGTGGGCCCCGTTGGGGGCTTTTGCGTTCCGCTTCCATGGAAGCAGGGGGGGGGGGGTGGTAGGGCAGGGCCTCCCCCCGCGCGGCCGCCTCAGTCTGCAGTCGATGATGAATAGCTTTTTTTCACCAGCGCAGTGAAAGGGAAAATACTAACCAGCCGGGAGCAGCAGGGGAGAACAGGTGGCCCGGGGGCAGGACCTCAAAAAACAGGCTCGGGCCTTTCTTGGACCCGCAAACCCGCCCAAGAGGGGAGACAATCCCCTTGACTAATGGGGCCCCCAACGAAAACTTTTTCCTTTGGCCCCAAAATAGCTGAATTTGCCCTTGAAAAGGGTGTCTTGGCCCTGGGGCCCGTAGCGTGGCTTCAGGGCATGTTTATGCGGAAAAGGGGGTATTGTAATCCCCGGAGGGCACGGGCGTCCACCCCCCAAAGGTTTGGAGAGACTGACCCTTTGTGAAAATGAATCAGGCGTGGATTTTTGTCTGGATTTCAAAAAACCCCCAGTTCCCCCACACAACGGGCTAAATCCCCCATGAAACATGCCCCAAAAATGTTTTTTAAATTTTTTTTATAGGCCCTCTGTATGGCCTTCAAATTTAAAACGCTTACCCCTTCGCCACTCGCCATGGGCCCCCCTTTTCCCCCCCTCCCCCATGAGTGGCCCGGGGCCCCTAATCTGTCCCTGGGCCCCCGTTTCCCCCCTCCTCATGCTGCCCAGGTTTCCCGAAATGTGGGCATGGGGCCCTTACGGCCTCCCATTTTCTGCTTCTCCATCGCCAAATTGCCATGTGCCATTTCAAAGGGCTCCTCCCCCAAAATGTTGGGGGGTTCCAAAATTTTGGGCATAGGGTGCTGTATGGCCTCCCATTGCTGCTGCCCGGCCCCCAATCTGCCAAGGGCCCCCCTAACCGACTCCTCATGCTGGGTCTAAAGGCCCCTAATTGTCATGGGCCCCCGTAACCCCCCCTCCTAAAGCTGCTGCCAGGGCCAGAGTGTGTTTATGGGGTCCCCGTATGGCCTCCCATTGCTTTTGTCTCCATCGCCACACTCTCCATGTGCCACCCTTTTTGGGCTCCTCACATGCTGGTGGGTTCCCTTTTTTTCCCTTGGGTGGGGTTTGGGCCCCCCATTGCTTGCCCCCCCTCCACCCCCAACACTGTGGCTTTCCCCACTCGGTTTTTGGGCCCCCTGACTCCCCCAAAAGAGTGAAGTGTGCGGTGGGTTCTAAAAATCGAAACGGCACTCATCCCGCAATTTTATAAATGACTGACAGTATTATTTCTCTTCCCCAGCAGAATTTCCCAAAGGGGATTTAAATAAAAGGAAAGTGTTTCCCGCCCCTAAAAATTAAGGCTTTGAAAACCCCAGCCCCCCCCTTTTTATTTAAAATTAAAATTTGCACGAATATATTCGCC